TGGTGTCTGTGCGCAGTATGTGTGTCATTGTGGCAATTGATTTGAATCGCGTGCATGCAACCTGATAAACCATCGTGAATGGTGTGAATATATGTATTTGTACTCGTGTATATTTCGCCTTTTATGTTACTGCCTTGTTACTGTTACGTGGCTTATGCCGAGAATGGCTAATGAGCTGGCCAAAACGCCAAAACGGGTGGCGTACTTGCCAATAATAGCCGTTAGCTGAAGGGTTCCCAAGAAGAAACGCTCTTATTGAGTTAAGCGGCAGAATCGAAGAGTGAATATAAATAGCTTAAGGGATGGCAGGATAAGCTTCAATGGATAATATGCTTATTTTGGTGAAGGCATTGAGATGAAAAACCAATGAGAGAAGAACTTTAGGTACAAGATATGTATCTCTGAATGCAATCCATTAGGTTATACTTTTCGAAGGGTTTCTAGAACGCCAGATAATGTATTCCAATGTCAAACCTGTCTAAATGAAAATGTAATAGACATTTTCGCTCACATTTAATCAACTAATTAATTGCATTTATTCACGAGTGAATATCCCACACCCTTTAAATTCCCCTGTCAGAATGGGCTCTGTGTCTAGCCCCTTCCTATACCCCTAACAATGCTTTTAATTGCCCCATTTAAGCCGAGGTCCCCCGCAAACAGCAAACAAAATTGGCAAAGACAGTAACTAACTGTTTTGCACAACGCAATTCGAATTAATTAAAGTTTATTGCGCGACTCTATGGGGTCCACACCCCGAAAAGTCAGACAGTGAAATCACACTCAGATGCTGAAACAAATTTCCCTTGTTCGGCGATCGCATTCTGACTGACTCATCCGCTCTATTTATACGGGTGTACGACACTTTCGGAAACATTCAATTTATTAATTAACACTCGGGGAACATCTTTGAGGCGATTTTCAGCATTTTTCTTCGTATTTCTTTTTCAAGATTTCTGCGGCTTTTACCACTTTTCCGCGCAGCCTCTAAGCGTTTTTATTGTTTCTCTTTTGATTAATGGGTGCGTTACCATTGGGATTTGGTGCGCGACTGACTCCGGCTAATACATGGCCACCGGTGGCCCACTCCCCCCGAAAAGCCCAGCCATGGAGCATCTCTCACACTATTTCAATTACCCGCCAGTGTTTTGAATTTTGCGCCACATTTTTTTTAATGCATACGAAACCATAAAAGTGAGCTTGCGAGTATGTGCAGAAATAAAAAAATATACAAAAAAGATTGGCTAAAATAAAAGCCTGGTTGCCCGGCTGAAATAATGCTCGTTAGCAGCACAAAGAAAAGCAACTAAAAAAAACAACAACAAAATATATAATAATAATAAAACAGACTGAAATTAGTTTCGAATTTTGAAAAACTCACTTTGCCATGGCGGAATGTCTTAGTCACGCCACCTGCTGCAATCCGCGGCGACTCTGAGTACATGTGAGTGTAAGTAGGTTTACTCTTAGGAAGGTACTAAGCCCACTCCAGATTCATGACGAGTATTTGGTAAACATTAAGGCGAAGCGTGTGGCATAAAAGCCAAAAACACTATAATTATGCCAAGAGCTGGTAACCAAGAGACTGCCAAGGTCATTCTTATATTTTACAGAAATATTTCAGGCGCTACTCGCTTAGCTTAACCAAGCAATTGTCTTTAATTAATTAAGGGATTTAAACACAAGAATGCAGCAGTAAGAATAACGAAAATTTAACCAAGACTTTTTGTTAAATTTTAGTAAAAAATCATCAGACTTCTTTTCATTTAAAATATATCAGAAATGGGTCAACTTGTTTTGTTATATAAAATGTTACGAATAATTTTGATTTACATCCCCTGTAATAAGGATATTTTAAAATACCCTTTTTATCCACCCTTTTTACAAATAATAAAGAAAAAAATATACCCTAAAAGACACTCAGTAAGGCTTCGCCCTCCAAAAATGTCTTAATGCTGGCTTATCGGAAATTACACACTGATCACATTTGGAGTGGCCCCATGCCAAGACGGGAAATGCAGTAGGGAAAAATACAATACAAATACCGAGGGGATGGCGGAGACACACAACTCCATTTGCCGGGTAATATGAGACATTGCTAAGGGCACAGCACAAAATAATCAAAACCCTCACTGGCTAAACGCCCGAGTGCAGGTCAGAAGGATGTTGAAGAAGGACCCCGACCACGACCCGCACTCCGACAAACACTCAAATGGTTCAATTTATCGGGGACCGCTCGAATTGTATCTCATGGATGCGACGAGAGCGAACCCCAGCTGACTCATTCCCCGAGACCCGAACAGGTTGGCCGCCGCACACACCCGTAAACATCCGTAGATACCCGGCCACAGACAGACACAAGTCCAAGCCCCAGCCCCTACAACTGCACAAACAAAATTGCGAAAAACAACAGGCACGACGGCGGGCACTAAGCCTACGCCCAGGCCTGAACTGAAACGCTCTGAAAATGCATGGAAATTAACAAAACGAAATGCAATGTAAAGTAAAATTAAAAGGCACGGTGAGGGTCCCAGGGGTTCGCCATATAGATACCTTCTAAAAGTACTAGATACAGAGTTTTTGGCTTTTAACGGTAAGTTAAGGGCTGCCAAGAATAGCAAATCCTTGTCGAAGCATTGGGGTAGTTCATACAAAATAAGCTTACCAATGGTGTTTGAGTTCCAAATACTATTTGCAATTTATTTCATAATTTCCTGTTACAAAAAAAAACTAAAAAAATCGAATAAAAATACACATATAACACAGTGACTCGCAAGATTATTTACTAATTAATTCAGTAAATCATATTGAACTCAAGTTGGAAATATAATTTAACCAAATTTGATGTGTATTTTATCTTATTTTATTTATTATTTTTTACTTTTAATTTAATTAATCATTCTTTCTTCTCTTTATGCAAGTATATGCCCTCTGAAACTCGTATGTAAAAGTGCTAGGCACTCGCACTACCCAAAGGCAAGCTAAGTAACACAAGACGACGACAAAATTTACTTTAGACCAAGCTCAAGCTCAAGTCGAAGCTCCGGCTCCAAGTCTCTGGTGCTCGAGTACACAACTCGATGCAATCGGCCAGCGAATTCGAACGAAAGGTACTTGAAAAAGTGCATGCGGGTTCATTTCCTGTTTGATCTTGCTATTTCAGTTACACAGAAAAGAAATTCGGTCATTTCGTAAAGAACTATATGCAAATAGTATTGGTATATTCACATCTTTTTATTTGTTCATGAAATTAAACATTAGATTAAAATATATTCAGTATGTTATATGAGTTCCAAGAGTTTTAGTTAATAATCAAAGATGGTTTTTAACCGCCTGTTTTTTTGTGATAGGATTTTTCGTAAATACATGTCTATTTTTAACATAAGTTAAGAAATTATAGAATATTAAAAATAAAGTTAAAGAAAATACCTCTATAAAGTTCCCCGGGACAACCTAAGATATTCTATATCTATTCTTCAACATTTTTCAGTTGCTCAAAAGTATATTTTGACAAAATCAGCATCAAATGCATTTTTCTTGCAGTGCATATCTGTGGCTCAGAGAGGCTTCTTGCCATTTTGCGATGTCAGCTGAACTCGACGACAAACATGCTCAAGCAAAGGCGATTTTCCCCCGCACTTTTTTTGTTGCCCCTCAACTGTGCAGACTTAAAGGTTTTTTCTTGACGTTTTAGGTTTTTGCCATTTGCAGCGTTTTTTCCATAGTTTCTTCTGTATTTTCTGCTTTTGTAGAAGACAACTTTTGCCTTCGTTCCTGCACTTTGGCCGCCGCTCTCTAATTTGCCTACAGCATTTAACGATCATCGCACATATTAGGTTTTTGGCTTTACGTCAGTCAGTGCAAATTATATCCACGTAGGTAACGATTTTTGACACTTTTCCAGCTCCGCGACCGCTCTCGAACGGTATTCGCCGAGCCGATCCATCCATCCACAATTCGAATTTTTGTATCTCCCGGCTACAGTTATTAATGATTGGTCTTTGGCTCTAGAGCTGCGGGCCAGGAAAGTGTTTATCGTCGGATCGATTATCACTTACATACATTTTTTCGGCTCTGCTGCGACGACATTCACAGGGGCTTTTGATTAATTGACCGTTAGCAAATAGTCATTTTGATTGCGTTTTAATGCGCCGGCCACTTGATTTGTGAACTTTCAATCATTAGGTAAACGAAATTGGCCAAATTGTCGCCGGTGTCGGTGAGGTAATATAGTCCTCTGGCCAAAGTCTGAACCAAAACAACTGAATTTTTGATTCAAGTAAAAAATTGTTAACATAATCTTTTGTTTCCCACGTTCTCGGGCTGACTTGTACTTGGTATGAATAATGAAAGTGTTAATTTAAAGATTTTGTTGTCCAACTGGTTGCGATTGACATTGTTGCCATCAATAAAGTCAAGTTTTTGGTTATAGAACCATAGGAAACACAACCTTTATTTGAATAAACTTTGAGCTTAGCCAATCGGTCGAGTTAATATTCTTAGCAAAGTCATATCTCAAACAATCGTGTGTTTTTGTGGAATTATATAGAGCGTTGTAAACAAATAAATTTTATTTTAATTGATTCAATAAACTGACGGAACATTAAGATTGATACAAATACATACTTTGTCAGCCAAAAAATATATTCTGGGAATATTATTTATAGTAAACTTCAACCAACCAACCGAAAATTGATTGGAAATTGTATTATTTGTTTATTTTTGTATGACCCAAATATTAAAGGCAATATTAAAATAATTCAAAAAGGGTTTTAAACTTGTAAAAGTTAAGGAATTACTTAAATATTTCCATTATTTATTGCTTCAAACTTCTGTCAGAAATAAATAAATCCAGAAGTGAGTCAAGTTTACCCCAAAAAATCTAAGGCGTTTCTAGAGTATTTTATATAGTTAACTAACTAAAAAACATATTGTTTAGTTACCCTTACCATCTAATGACAATATGAGATCACCAGAGGTCCCAGTAAGTCACAACTCACCTTTTGGAAAAGTTCGTGCGATCTACGCCGGGGTCTCGAGATGCTCCCCTTCCAGCATTCAAATTGGAGCTATTGGGCGGCTGCCAACTGGCGTGCTGCTAGCTAGAATCCGATCTCGTTTCTTTCCGTGTTTTTCGGGTTTTCAGATGGGAGACGAAGCGCGACGCGGGCTGGCTCAGGCACTTGGCGGTGGTGGTGGTGGTACTTGGCACTGGTTACTGGTACTGGGTACTGGGTACTTGTTGCTCTGCTGGACCCCAGAGCTCACTCAAATCTCTAGCCACTCGGATGTGGACGGCGGCCAGAAAATGGAAACGCGATTAGAGGGCCGCGGTGGCAGCGGCAGCGAAAAGGGTACACAAAAAAGATGCAGAGCCAGCAGCAGCGGCAGCAGCAGAAAAAACGAAAACAATGCCAGAAAAAATCAACATGCACACACTGACACCAAAGAATATGTATCTTGAAACTGGTTTAAGATTTGCTGGGGATTTGTTGGCATCTAGAGTGTGTGTCTATGTGAGCGCCGCTCTGGGCTTGTACTTTCCAATAACAAATCCGACTTCTTGTTTGGCTTTGGCTCTTTAGAAACACACGGATATCATTTCCATACAGATTCTCTTTCCGAAACAACTGTTGCGCCTCAGCGGGAGACGGATTCCAATTCGAAAAACAGGCAGGCGAACGGAAGGATCTCAGGCACTGATGTCTCACAAACCGCACTTAGTGTACTAACTTTGTATATTTATTTTTATTCCTTAAAAAACACCGGCGTTACAGAAGAGTCGTTTGCCGTTCAAAAAATATTTCATTCGAATCAAAAACACCGACAAAACCGACTTGGGTAACGCACGAACTCCAACGACATCCGACAGATACGAATGAAACGCAACTGAAGCGCCAGCTAGAGATGGTAAGATACAAAGCGAATGCTGTGCTTGCCAGTTGCGATAGTCTTCTGGTTGGGAACCCATCGAAACTAGTGATGGCAGTTGGTCCAACTAATAATTTCTTAGTAGAAAATGTGCCAGGGGAACCTTTTTTATTAAAAATATTCATTTTAATTATTCATATTTAAAGGAAATGTTTAAAATATAAAGAATCCAACCTTTTGCAAAATATCTTTATTTTTATTTTTAACCACATATGTGAAATAGTTTTAAATAGTAGTTCTTCGTTTATGTACCGCGATATGTAGAGTATCCATAGGGATTAAGCAAGAGGGGAATATGATAGTGCTGATTTTCGCTGCAGTCCGCAATGATCTCAATAACGGGATACAGAGTCTTCACATTGCGCGCGGCAAAATAAGATCCGACATGGAACGTCAGCTTGTAGATGCCACTGGGAAATTGGCCAGGCTCCAAGAGCTGGCACCGACCATCCTCATTGGTTTTGGCCGCTCGAAGGGATTTCCACTCCTGTAGCTCGTCCAGCCTGGAAACGGTTACGCGGACATTGGCGGCAGCTTCACCCACGGAAGTGTCCAGTATGTGAGTGGAAAATTTACGTACGTCCATATTGATGAAAGAGAACTTCAAGACTGCGGACTGTAAGTATCTCGGGATTGTTAGTGACTAATAAGACTTTATCTGAATAATCCTGATTGCATTTATCATTAAAGCTGGAGAGATGCTGATAAGAGGAATTCAGATAAGAAGTTTAATATTACATGCATAAATCACTTGTGCTTTTATAAAATAACAAAAGAATCTGGTAAATAATTTTAAAAATAATTAATTTTAGTTAAACTTACATTTGATACTTTTAAAGTATCTCCCATTTAATTTTTAAATAAATAATTAAATACTTTTGTTGCAATTTGTAATTGGTATTTTTTTAGCGCATATTTGGTATTTAATCTCGCTCGACTGCGGCCACACCATTTCGTTGATTCAAAAACTGCACGTGTTGACAACATTTCGATTGGTAGCGTAAACTTCTTTGAACTTTTCTAAAAATGGCTGAGGAAGGACCTCCCGAGGCGAGCATCGACTTCGTGCCCGCCCTTTGCTTTGTGCCGCGCGGCGTGGCCAAGGACAAGCCGGACAAGATCGTGCTGACGCAGGCAGAGCTGGCCAGGATTATCGGCGCTACGCAGCAGGAACTGGACGAGGAGAGCGACGACGATGAAGCTGAGGAGGGAGGTGGAGAGGATGGCGAAGGCATGGATGTGGACGACAATGAGGATGCGAACAGTGAGAACCGCAATCCACAGGACGAGTTCCACTTCCAGGACTACGACAACGAGGAGAATGCCACAGTCACCAGTCTGGCCAATATCGTTGACGCTGGCGAACAGGTGCCCGACGAGGACGAAGATTCCGAGGCCGAGGATGAGGTCATCAAGCCCAGTGACAATCTGATCCTGGTGGGCCATGTCCAGGATGACGCCGCCTCCATGGAGGTGTGGGTGTTCAACCAGGAGGAAGAGGCGCTCTACACGCACCACGACTTTCTGCTGCCCAGCTTTCCCCTCTGCATCGAATGGATGAACCATGACGCCGGCAGCGACAAGGTGGGCAACATGTGCGCCATTGGCTGCATGGATCCTATTATCACCATATGGGATCTGGATATCCAGGACTCCATTGAGCCCACCTTCAAGCTGGGCTCCAAGGGCAGTCGCAAGCAGCAGAAGGAGCAGTATGGCCACAAGGACGCTGTGCTGGATCTCTCGTGGAACCGCAACTTCGAGCACATTCTGGCCAGTGGCTCCGTGGACCAAACCCTCATTCTGTGGGACATGGACGAGGGCCAGCCGCACACTACTATCACGGCCTTCGGCGAGAAGGTGCAGTCCCTGGAGTTCCATCCGACGGAGGCGCAGAGCATCCTCACCGGCTGTGCCGATGGGTATGTGAGGCTCTTCGATTGCCGCGACGCCGATGCCGTCAATTCCTCAAGCATCCAGTGGAAGGTTAACGGCGAGGTGGAAAAAATCCTGTGGCATCCTACCCAGAGTGACTACTTCATCGTGGGCACCAACGATGGCAGCCTGCACTACGCCGACAAACGGAAGCCCGACGAGCTGCTGTGGTCCGTAAAGGCCCACAACGAGGAGATCTCCGGGGTTTGCTTCAACAGTCAGATGCCCAACCTGCTGACCTCCACATCCACGGAGGGCACCCTCAAGGTGTGGAACTTCAACAGCGCAGAGGCCAAGCACGTCTACGAGCACGAGTTCAATATGGGGCGCCTGCAATGCATGCGTCAGTGCCCGGAGGATCCCTACACCCTGGCCTTCGGCGGCGAGAAGCCGCCGCGCTGCGCCATCTTCAACATCAAGAACTCGGTGGCCGTGCGCCGGACCTTTGGCATCGCCGATGCGGAGTAGAGAATAATATTATCAGACGCGTATTCAACGATGTATATGCTTTTAAATGAACGATATATCTTTAAGGAACCAAAATCACGTCTCTTATTTAGCAATGCGGAACACCAGAGGGGGCATTGCATTGACCTTTATTATAAACTTTAAAACCGAATGGTCGTGAGCAGCTTAAAAAAATCGAAAACTGTGGTTCTTATGTGGGTAAGACACTACTTCATTCCGAGCGTGGAAGAAACACAAAATGATGAAACGACGACTTTTATCCTAGACATATTTCGTGCATTACTTACATCTACATCTACGTTACGTGTACCGACTAGCTCTTGAAGAGACCGACGCACATGAGCAGATTGCGGCGCGTGAAGTGCAGAGTGACGAACGGCGAGTTCTTGCTGGGGAATGTGCGCAGCAGGTATACATCCTCGTCGTTCTCGTCCTGGTGGTGCGACACCGTAATGTGATTGCTTATGTAGTCCTCGGTGACCTTGTGGAAGTCCCACAGCGTAAGGTTGTTGTCCAGGCCAGCGGCTGCCAGGAGCGTGCCATCCCGGCTGAAGGTAATCGTGGACACGGTGCTGGTGTGTCTTAGCAGGGTGGTAACCAGAGCTCCACTCGACAGGTCCCAGATGATGATGTTGTGGTCCACCGAACCGGAGGCTAGATACCGGCCGCATGCGGAGAAGGCCAGCGAACTCACCGGTCCTTTGTGGCCCGTCATCAGGCGCACCGACTGGCCGGTCATGTTGTCCCACAAGCGCACTGTGCGATCGCTGGAGCCAGTGGCCACGTAGTTGGAATTCGGATGGAACTGCACACAGTCTACGTCAGACAGATGGCCCACAAACACGCGCAGAGCTTGGTTGGAGTCGGTGGCCCAAAGGCGGGCAGTTTTGTCGTAGGAGCAAGAGACGAAGTAGTAGCCATGCGGAGCAAAGCGCACATCCCACACCGGGTAGACGTGGCCGCGATATGTGACCACGCAGGACCAGGTGAGCAGGGACCACAGTCGTATCGTGCCGTCCTCCGAGCACGACAGGAGCAGGTTCATCTCGGGTGCAAAGGCGCAACGATATACTGGCCCGGTGTGGCCCAGAAAACTCCTGGTCGTCTCTCCGCTTCGGTCGTCCAGCATCCGCACATTGATATCGGCCGACTCCTTGTCCAGCTCCCTCAGCGCATCAGCATCCTTGAGGGCACGCAGCTTGGCGGGCGTCAGGGACCAGATCCTCACACTAGAGTCCCCGAATCCGCAGGCCAGCATCGTGGAATCGTCTGAGATCTCGGCGCAAGTTACGCCCTGATGGGAGTTGAGAACCGTGTAGAAGACAGCGGAAGGCAGCTGATCCTTGCTAAGCGCCAGTCGTTTGCTAGCTTCCCTCAGTGCTTTCAGCTTTAGCAGCTTGTCCGAATCCTTGAGTTCCGGCAGGGGTATCCTGTCAATTGAGGGGGCATTTGGATCCGACTTGGATTTTTTTGATAGAAGCGGATCCTTTTTCGGTTTTTTCTTCTTTGGACGATCCGGTGCATCCGGGTCGTCGTCCTCCTCCTCAGGTGCAGGCGCTGGCGTGGTAAGCGTCTGGAAGTCAACTTCCTTCAGCAGGCCATAGTAAACCCGCATCTTATTGTCCTGCCGCTTGGCCTCGCCGACGTGGGAGCCCGCCGTGGCCACGCACTGCAGCTTGTTGCGCGCCATGCCCTCGTAGGTATCGAAGTGCAGGTACTTGGACACGATGTCGGCCACCACCTCCTGCCGGCGATCCTGGATGTGGCGCTTGAAGAGCGAGTGCGAGTCCCTTGACATGCGTATGACAAACCGGTCCGTTTCCATGGCGGACACCAGATCGTTATCCAGCAGCTCCTCCGGCTTGGACAGCAGCAGTAGACTGAACAGACCCTCGATGTAGTAGCCGTCGAGATCAGATTTGTACTTCTCGATGAATTCCTTTGCCTTGTCCCTGAGGCCGCTGGCGAGCATCTTAAAGTAGATCTGCACTAGAATGGGGTACAGCACCATGGACAGCTCATGCTTGTATATGTCCAGGGAGTCCTCCACGAAGGTGCGTAGTTCCTGGTAGGCCTGCTCGTACTGCTGGGCGTCGAAGCTGTCGTCGCCGATGAACTTGGCCAGCGCCTCTGCCGCATTGGCCTCGGTCACGGCCGATTGTTTTGGCGGGTGCTGCGGGGCAGGAGCACGTTCCCGCTCCCGGTCGTTATCGCCCAGTCCCAAGGCAGCGCCAAGCACCTTCTGCACATCGCTCTCGCTGATCTCTGACAAGTCCGCACTGCTCACATTCGCCTCCTGGCAGAGCAGCTCCTCCGTGCTCTTCAGCTGATACTTCTTGATGAGCTTTAGCAGACAGAGCAACTCACGTTTGTCGCGGGAGCCCTGGGCGCCGGTTCCTCCGTTTACATTGCTCATTTCAAGACTCATTTTCCGGGAGAAAAAATCTCGTATTTTGTTTGCGTGGGTGTGTGACCAGGTGTGGACAAGCATAAAATACCACGAGTTCCACATAGAATACTAAAATATACCAAGCTAATAAAGAGGTACAGTAAGCACTAGGAGACGAACTGTATGGTCAAATTAAAGTGTTTTCTATGTGCGGAATAGTAGTTAATTATAATTACTAAACATTAAAAGAAGAAGTAATTAAGCATTTTAATTGTTATAATTTGTCAACAGATAAAATGTACAGTATTTAAAGACAATTCAAACCATTTGGTATCCGTTTAGTATTTTTCATACCTAAACAGATAACGATAACGCAGAGCGATAACCAAAACATTCGTAAGACATGAAGAGAAGAGTAATTATAAAAAAGGTAAAAAATAACGTAACGGCTAATTAAAATGCATAATAACTACTGCAAAGGGTATTATCTGGCTGTGCATTAACTAAATCAACTTGCTATTGCTTATTTCAGTGTAACTGTGTGCCGCCCTTCCTCCAACTCCTTGAACTTTGACTCTCCGTCTCGAAATTAACCCTTGTACTCGTGCTTTCTGTTGTGTTTTTGTCGCTCCTTTTTGTGAAAAAATGAATGAAAATGATGTTGCGGTAGGTCACCAGCTGTATTATAACCCCCATTAGCTCATTATTCCTTCGAATCCCACAGAAAAAGGTCGCCGGCAAGCGAAATTCGGTGGCATTCGACCAACTGGATTCCGGCCAGCCGAGATACAGCTTCTCTGGTCGCGTGCAGGAGCTGATCGAGGGCTACAATTCGGCCGTGCAGCTGCTGGCGCCCAAGTGGCCCTGGTTCTTCTTTCCCGGATATCTCACATACGCCGTCTACTGGCGCTATGCCAAATATTACAAGGGCAAGTTGCTTCTGACCCCTATTCCGAATCGCCTCTACGAACTGCTGATCAAAAACGAGCTAATCAAGTCAGAGCACCTGGTGTTCGCCAGCCAGGACGTATACGACAGCTATGCGGAGTCGCCGGACGTTAACTTTGTCAACTTGGTTATCCGTGGCAATGGCAGGGGAAAGGGCAATGAGACAACCGATGGGAAGTCTGCGTCTCAAACGGTCATTAAGCAAATGCTTCAGGAGGCGCCGCACACCATAGTGGCTCAGATACTGCCGGTGGCCCAGTGTCAACCGAATTGTCTGTATGTGCAGGTGGGTACATCTCAAACGAAGGCTTGAATGCTAATTAACCTTCCTGTTTTCATGCCAGGAAAACTTCTACGGCAATATCATGGACCGCTTTCGCATCCGCTCCAACTGCTGGGTGCAGTTAGACCACTTTGCCGACGAGCAGACCATACCCGGCATAGCGACCAAGGCGCATGTATACATGCTGACCGATCCGCACGAATTGCCCACCGAACTGACTGAGCTCATACTTAGCAACTACTTCAGCACCCCGAGGCTCCTGCATCGCGGGCACACCTACCGGATCGAGGTTAATGCGGACCTGGTGGGCACAGCTTCCTATGCGCACTACTACCTGATCTTTGCGTACCTTCATCACGTCCACTTCAAGTGCATTCACTTGGAGACAAAGGGGAGCGAGTTCGAGCTGCAAGCTGTGGTGGCCAAGAGCTTCAGCAATCTGGTTCAAGTGCCATCTGCCCACAGCTTTCTGCCGCGACAAGTGTTGGACAACTTTGCCATCGTTGAGAACTATCCGAGCGGACTTCGGAGGCCTTATCAACTGTTACGCTCCTCGGTGGACGCCTTCCTGCCCAAGAAGTCCGCTTGCCTGTCCTCCAAGCACATTTTCCCCGTTTTCCTACTGCAGGGCGAACGGGGATCCGGGAAAACGAAGATCATCAATGCCGTGGCCCAGGAGCTGGGCATGCATATGTATGGGGCGGACTGTGCAGAGATAGTCTCGCAGGTGCCCTCGCACACGGAGATGAAGCTGAAGGCGGTCTTCGCCAAGAGCCAGGTTAGCGAGCCGCTCCTAATTTGCTTTCACAACTTTGAGATCTTTGGCATTGACAACGAGGGCAATGAGGACCTTCGTCTGCTGTCAGCCTTCCATGTGCAGGTCCAGGAGCTCTTCGCCAAGGATCGCAAGCACCCCGTGGTAGTTGTGGCCTTAACCAGCGACAAACACTTGAAGCCCATGATTCAGAGCCTCTTCCTGGAGATCATCAGCATAGAGATGCCCAGCAAGGAGGAGCGATTCGAGATCCTACGCTGGATGCATGTTCGGGAGACCTTCAACGATGTAATCCATAACCAAAAGCTCATCGACCGCCTGCCCTTGTTCTCGAGAGAAAACCAGGCTCAATTTATGTCCCGCGTCAGTCCCAGTTGGAGGGATACCATTGATGTGCTCCATGAGGTAGCTGCCAAATCGCAGGGCTTTCTCCTGGGCGACCTGCAGCTGCTCTACGACAGTGCCGTTCGCCTGAGGAGCCGCCAACGGCACGGAAGGTGCACCCTGGATCTTTCGCACTTCGCCAAGAACCTGAGCGACATGCAGAGCTCTTTTGCGGACAGCTTGGGCGCGCCCAAAGTGCCGAAAGTGTACTGGTCGGATATCGGTGGTCTGGCCAAGCTGAAGGACGAGATCCAGAGCAGCATCGGGCTGCCGCTCAAGCATGTTCACCTCATGGGCAAGAACTTGAGGCGATCGGGCATCCTTCTCTATGGCCCGCCGGGAACTGGTAAGACTTTGGTGGCCAAGGCCGTGGCCACTGAGTGCAACCTGAGTTTTCTCTCCGTCCAAGGGCCGGAGCTTCTCAACATGTATGTGGGGCAGAGCGAACAGAATGTGCGCGAAGTCTTCTCCCGTGCCCGGTCGGCAGCGCCTTGTGTCCTCTTCCTGGACGAACTGGACTCGCTGGCTCCCAATCGAGGTGTGGCCGGTGATTCTGGAGGCGTTATGGATCGCGTAGTGTCGCAACTGCTGGCCGAGATGGACGGCATGAGCGATGGCGACACCAGCAAGCCTATCTTCATCCTGGCAGCCACCAATCGTCCGGATCTGATTGACCCCGCCCTTTTGCGACCCGGCCGCTTTGACAAGCTCTTCTACGTTGGTCCCTGCTCCACAGCCGATGACAAGGCAGCCGTGCTGCGGGCCCAGACACAGCGCTTCGCCCTGGCTGCTGGCGTGAACATGGACGAAATTGCGGAGCGACTGAAGAGCGAAATGAGCGGGGCAGATCTGTACTCCATCTGCTCCAATGCCTGGCTCTCGGCCGTAAGACGCATCATAGACAAGCACTTGAGCGGGGCTATAACGGACGCGGAACTGCAGCCGGAGAACGTTGTGGTGGAGTCGGAAGACTTCACCAGATCGTTCAACAAATTCGTGCCCTCGATTAGCGCCAAGGATCTGGAGTACTTCAACAACCTGAAGGCAACGTACAGCGTTTAGAGCGCCCACCAATGGTTAACTAGTTCTAAGAGTGAGTTTTTTACAGACATTTTCGTTGCTTTTTAATAAACCCGTTGATAGTTCACAATTGCCAGCGAGTTTTCACTCGATTAAGGGGAAAACATGCGTGAAAAAGGAAACCAGTGGCTGGAACTTCGGAAGTCAGTCTGTGGCGGTACGTGGATCCCATTAACCGTAATCTTGCCGAAACAAAAGTGGGCGCTTATCGCTTCGAACAGCTACCCCCCGTGTAGCGCTGGGAAACTGCGTCGTCTCTTTGGGATGATCTTTGGGCGAGACCTGGGTGACTTCATCTCGGCACAGGGAGGCTTATCAGTTTCAGCCGGCAGACAGCGTGCTTATCGCGATCTGCTCGGTTTATGGACACCTCCAAGTAAACGCTGTTGATGCTGGTCCACAATCTGTGCGGGTTTAGATTTAGTCTGGGAAGTGCGAGCCAACATTGTACATTTCCATTAACCCGCGTTACGTAACAGACATGGCTTTGGTATGTGTGGAGGACTTTGAGAAGAAGGCCGCTGGCCACCTGGAGAAGAATGCTCTGGACTATTACAGAAGCGGAGCCGGTGAACAGTTCACCTTGGGCCTGAACCGGGAGGCTTTCCGACGCCTGCGGCTGCGTCCACGGTGCTTGCGGGATGTTTCCCGTCTGGACATTAGCTGTGAGATCTTTGGCGAGCGGATGAAGTGGCCGTTGGGTATCGCGCCCACGGCTATGCAGAAGATGGCGCATCCGGATGGCGAGATTGGCAATGCCAGGGCCGCGGGCAAGGCTGGATCCATCTTCATTCTCAGCACCCTTTCCACCACGTCGCTGGAGGATTTAGCAGCCGGTGCTCCGGACACCGTGAAGTGGTTCCAGCTGTACATCTACAAGGATCGGTAAGACTAAATTAGACGCTATAGATTAGAACTTACTCCTTTCCTTATTCTCGCTTTTAGTACCATTACAGAAAAGTTGGTACGTCGTGCCGAGAAGGCCAACTTCAAGGCCCTCGTTCTGACCATCGATGCCCCAATATTCGGACACCGACGTGCCGATGTACGGAACAACTTCAGTCTGCCCGCGCACCTGTCTCTGGCCAACTTCCAGGGCGTTAAGGCCACCGGTGTGGGTAATCCCAGCATGGGAGCTTCTGGCATCAACGAGTACGTATCCAGTCAGTTTGATCCGACCATCACTTGGAAGGATATCGCTTGGCTAAAGAGCATCACTCATCTGCCCATTGTGGTGAAGGGAGTGCTGACCGCTGAGGATGCTGTGCTGGCCCGGGAGTTTGGATGCGCCGGCATCATTGTGTCCAACCATGGAGCACGTCAAATCGACACAGTCCCAGCCTCGATTGAAGCCCTTCCGGAGATTGTGAAGGCCGTGGGCGATGATCTGGTAGTTATGCTGGACGGCGGTATCATGCAGGGCAATGACATTTTTAAGGCCCTGGCCCTTGGGGCCAAGACCGTCTTTGTTGGTCGTCCTGCCGTCTGGGGACTGGCCTACAACGGCCAGAAGGGTGTGGAAGAGATGCTGAGTGTTTTGAGGAAGGATTTCGAGATCACCATGGCACTGATCGGGGCCCAAACTCTGAAGGACATTCTGCCGTCGATGGTGGTGCATGAGTGGCAGTATGCCAAGCTTTAAATCGTTTTAATTTACATTTATAATTTAAAAACTATTGAATTCTACAGCACAAATAAAAACAATTAAAATTATTTTACAAATCTATTTGGAATTCAAATTATCGACTTAAAAATTTAATTCGCAGCAACAGAAATTACTTGTATTAATATTCTTATTATGGTTTATTAGTGCGCTTACATATTAAAAAAAAATTATGCATAAATTATAAATAATTACAAAAAAATAATTATATATAAATATATATTATTTTATTGGCGAATTTAATTGAATTATTGGAATCATAAAGCATTAAAATACAATGTTTTTAAAACGTTAAAATAATCAGGGTATTTCCTTGACAACTGAATGACACAGGTTGTTATACGCGGAACACGCCATCTGAGAGAAAATTAACAAACTCCGATAGTTTAAATAATTTGCATACAATTTATAACAAATATTGCTAGATTAGTATTAAAACAATATTTGTAAGGCCATAAGACAGTTAAAAATTTCGTAAGCTTTTTAATTTTCAAATATTCTAGACATAGCTTGAAATAAGCTAAACTGTCAACACTGTTCAGGCAACTAGAGGTGGGGAAAGATCGATGTTCACTGAAGTTATATGAAAAAAGCATCTAAAAATGATCGTTATTGTTTATGAACAATGGTCGACGGTCGCTAATTAATTTGTGTGATATACTAAATACCCACTTATAATTAGCAAGAACGCTAAATAAATTTTTAGAGAGTCTTATATCCGCCCCCTTCGGTTTTCATTTAAATTATGTATCCCTGGCAAACATCGATTTTTGCGATGTTTTGAAAACATCGATGACATCGATGGGTATCGCTGTTTCTCCACCTCTAATAAACAGTGAAATTAAAATAAAATGCTTGAGGGCTGGTACTGCCGGAACCAGGGGGAAGCCGCCATCAAGGACGAGCCACAGCAGCCGGAGAGCGATGAGGAACCGCCACCGCCGGCAAGGGATCGTATCTACGCGATAGCTCATGGCGGAGCACCCGCGAGTTCATCTTCTGCATCCGCGGGATTGGGAATTGGCGGAGTCGGCGCCGTGGACTACAAGGAGCGCTACAAAAACCTTAAAAAGAAGCTCAAGTTTCTCATCTACGTAAATACATTAAGTTGAGCTAGGCGATGTTGAAGTCACAGCTTTTTGTGTTTACAGGAGAACGAATATTTCCAGGATCTGTTGCACACGAATCAGCGAAGGCTGCTGAAGGTGTCCCGCGATCGCACATTCCTGCTGGATCGCCTGCTGATGTACGAGAAGCCCGCCAAGGACTCTAGCGACAGCGATGCCACCGACAGCTCAGATTCGGAGCCAGAGAACGCCTCAGCATCCACATCCGGGGTGACCGGAGGTTCCCAAACACCCAAAGAAACTATACGCCGAAAACACAAAGACAAAGGAGCACCTGGAGTACCAGGAATGCCCTCGCACATGCCCACTGTGGGGGCCACACGGGGTCGCAGGCGCAAAATTCTGACCGGAATGATGCCCTCGAGTCACGGAATGCAGGCCGCTGCTGCAAAGAGACAGCTCACGGCCACAGTTTCGCCGTCGCAGCAGCTGCAGCATCAGCAAATCCAGCTACAGACTGTCCCCAAAGAGGCTTCACCTGGCTTGAGCACAGCCGAAATTGCCCGTCAGCTGCAGGAACGACGCCCCACGCCCATTGAGTTGATGAGCCCGGAGTGTACCTCGGCCACTGTGCCCACCACGATGCTCAGCGATGAGAGTCCCTCCAAGTGGTAATATACATGAGTCTACGCCTAGTAGAAGCTTGATTTAACTCTGTTTTTTACAGCTATGCCAATGAGAGTTTGCAGCACTTGATGGAGGACGACGAGGTGGCCGCCGAGGAGTGCGTGCCCATGGAGTACACCAGTTAACAATGAAACACGGCTATATGTTATTTTGGCTTATCTATTAAACTAACAAGAACGACATTTTCACCGCGAATTACGACCTGTGGCAAATCGCGGGTTATCTCCACGTTTTTTCTGTTCAGACTCCTTACTTGCATCCTCGGCAGGGTTATGCCCAGCTCCTTGAGCCGGTCTGTGCAATCCACAGGTGCGTGACAGATGTTCTGCTGCCCGTAGCTGTATTTTCGGCGCTTCCAAGTCTCGGTGGCGTTTCGTAGGAGGAGATTCCACTGCTTGTCGAAGGCGAGCAGTTCACCTTCCACGCTGCCGCCCACCATTCCTTGTTTGCGGATCACCACACGGACTCGAATTAGCTGTGTGGAGAGCGCGGGGTCCCTGGCTTTGAGCGGCACACACTTCTTGAGCAGTGCCAGTGGTCCTGCGCTTGTCTCCATGTAGGTGAAAATGTTGCGTTGGTGCTTTTTGTTCGACGTGCTGGTTGTGGGCATCTGGTGCAGCTCGAAGCGGCGCTGAGGGACCTCTGCGCTAGCTGCTGCAGTAGCAGCTGTGGAAGTAGAGGGCTGTTCCTTCTTCTGGTGCTCATTTTGGTTTGATCCAGCTTCGGATTTCTTGCGCTTGTTCAGCTGCCAGACGCCAAACTTCTTAAGGGCACTCTCGAAGGCGGCCAGATTCTGGTAGAGAACCTTGGGAACAGCATCCGTTATCTTATAGTTGGGCGCGTACAAAGCTCTTAGGGGATTGAATTTGTCACTGGTCACATCCAGCTCGAGTTCTGGATCGGGATCTCTATGGGATGAATCGTTTGTTTTGGGCTTACTCCGGTCCGTCGTTTGATGGTCGCTCATTTCGGAAGATCACAGGAGCTTGAGGTTAATGCATCCGATATAGTGACAGATATCCCAAATTTAACTCTATAGCCGCATTCAATAGCAAACAAAAACGAATTAAACAAAGGTAAACAAATATGCCGGCTTGATGACCAGTGTTATCGGTTATCGGTATCGATAAATATGGATGTGAATTTCGGAGGGAAAGCGGAATGGCGAAATTTATTTGCGAATAAAACCTTTTTCTGCGTTTATTTCCCCAGAATAATGTACAGAAAAACTTAGTTACATTCGTTACCATTATTTAACAATAATACTATGTATTGCTAATTTAATTAAAGTTGTAAAATGGCCGGATTTCTTGTCCAGCCTTGGGTATGATCTTCCAAAGAGCTTTCCTTCAATCAACGGACAATCTAATCAGTAAAGCTTTTGGCGCGGTGAAAGCAACAAGTGCTACATAAAACAAGGAGATGGCAAGTGAGTTGAAAAATGGTATACACTACTGATCCCCCATGGTTACCAAAGCTATCCTGCAGCCAGTGGAAGCAGCTCGACCTTTGATCTGAGTCCGAAGGCTCTGATCGGCGTGGGCGTTGGCATTTTGGCTGCGGGCGGAGCGAGTTACCTGCTCTACCGCCACCTAACACGCGATGTAATGCCCCAAAAGTGGCGCCGGGTGGGCACCGTGCAGAGGATTCACTTCTTTCCGGTCAAATCCTGTGCTCCCTTGGAGATATCCAAGCCCGGTGTGGAGTTTGACTGCGATGTGCTCAGCATGTCCTTCGAGGGCATTCGGGATCGCACCTTGATGGTGGTTAACGACAAGAATGAGATGGTCACGGCCCGCGTCTATCCGCACATGACGCAGATCCGTTCGAAGAAGGTATCGGCCAGCAAGCTTACGTTTAGTTACGAGGGCCTACCCGACTTGGAGCTGGACTTTGAGCAGCTGGAGGGTCCCGGCAAGGATGTGCACACTTCCGTTTGGGGGGTTCCCATGGATGTGATGCCCTGCGGTGACCGCATCAATACGTGGTTCTCCCAGGCCATCCTGAAGAAGGAGAGCGGCCTGAAGCTAGTCCACTATCCCTACCCAAAGCCAGTGAGGAGTACCAATCCGCGGCTGAAGCACATGCCCTTCCTGAGGCAGGAGGATTCGGTGGGTATTGCTGTTATCCTGGGAATTTATCGCTTACCGGCTCATAATTTATCGTCCCAAAGGGCACCTTCAATGATGCCACTAGTTTCATGCTGATGAACCTCTCTTCGGTGGCCGATCTGAACACTCGGCTCAAGAATCCCGTGGATGCTCTACAATTCCGTGGCAATTTCGAACTTAAAATGGATGTGGACGAGCCCTACGCAGAGGATAAATGGCAGTGGCTGCGCATTGGTAACGACGCAGTTTTCCGATCGGTGGCCCCCTGCACTCGCTGCATTTTTCCAAACATAAATCCCGAGACGGCTGAAAGGGACGTCGACGGCGAGCCGCTCAAGACGCTGCGGAGGTGAGTCACTTCCTTTCTAGCTTGCTGATAAATTGCATTGATTGCGACTCTTATTGCGTCTTTCCACAGCTATCGCTTGTTTAACTTCAGCTCGCCGGCTCTGGGCATTCACCTGGGCCTGCGGCTGCCGGGCAAAGTCAAGGCTAACGATGTGGTCTACGTCGAGGACAAGTGAAGTCGGATTGTCTTTTAAACCTGTATACATTCACGTTTATTACATAGAACATAGATAATGAGAGTACTGTAGAGCTTTATATGCAAATATACACGTGTTGTGGGCTTATAACAATTTAAACAAATGTCCCTTAGACGCAGGACTGCCAGGCGAGACCGCCACAGGCCATGCTCACGATCACATAGACGATGAAGGTAATCACCAGGCCCACCACCACGTAGATACGGATGTTCTTCCAAAACATTTGCCGCGCCAAGTTGCGCGAGGCCTTGCGGAATGCAACGGACTGAAAAACATAAAGGTGTAATTGCCGTTGGGGTAAACACTCTGCTCTGCCCTTACATTATTGCTCAAGTTTTCGGTTTTGTTGACCAGCAGTTCCAGTTTCTCGCCGCGATCACGCAGGCTGTCTGCAAACAAAGGGGAGCAATGGGTTATCTGAGGCTCCGCACCTTTTTTTCGGCTTCTTGCTTACCAATATTCTTAACCATAATGTCTTTCAGCTCGTCTATCTGCCCGTGGACCCGCGAAATGGTGTCCACTTCCCCCGACTGACTGAAGTATACCATCTGCTGGGCCAGAACCTTGGAGAATTCGGTGTTCATGGCATAGGCGATGGCCGTGGCCACCTGTAGGCCGTATGTCTGGATGAACTTCTGCTTGACATCCGCCAAGAAGAGGAAGGCCCGAGAGCGCTCGAACTCCTACAAGTGAAACAAGAAGTATTATCGATTGGCCAACACACTGCGGCGGCGTCTGGAAACTGGGCCGCCGGTTCGTTCACCCACGTTGTCGGTGATGCACATGTAGACCAGCTTGTTCTCGCAGGTGTAGTGGATCTGGTACTCGCCGTGGTTGTATGTCATCTTGTGGTTATGGACCCCAATGCGGCCGATGATGTGCTCCGTCACTTCGGCAAAGTTACCGACGCACTCCGCGAACTTGGCCAGCACCGTGCTGCCCCGCGATATAACGCTGTATAGTATCGGCATTATGCTGCCGCAGCTGCTGGTCTTCTCCTTTGTTTAGGGTGCGGCCTCACCAGCTCCTCCCTCCGGCTTATCAGTGAATCGGAACGAAGTCAACAAAGACGCGTCACTACTGACGTGCTCTCGGGAGAATCTGTGAAATCCGAAGGCAGACACTTAGCACAACTCGCTGCATTCATGAGTAATAAGCGTAGGAATTGCCTTGTTTATCCAATTATAAATTGATCCAAGTTTTGCTGGGGGAAACTTCAGATCACATTTTGTGGTACCTTCACTGAGTAATATTATTGATTATTAGCAGTTATTGGCGCACACTGTAGGACATTACGAAATCCAACTCGGGCGAAATTATTTGCACTTTTTCAGCATAATAAAAACAGCAACAATTGCTGACTTGACGCGTATTGCAGTTTAGAGCTGCATAAGCTTCGATTTTAATATCGATACATCGATATCATCGCAATCACATAAATTTAAATTAATGTAGGCAGTTAACTGAAATAAATAAAATAATTAAATTAAATTAAAAAAAAATTAAATGCAAAAAACATTAGACCTTTATTTTGGTATATTATTTAAGTTTTACTAAACAAACCTCAATCTAATACATAATATCTGCATATGTGTTTAAATAATGTCCAATATATCCACAAAAATATATTTTTCACTGTGACTAGCAGTAAATTGGTCATTCTACGAATTAAAAAAAAATTAAACTTGGCCTCTCTAAGTATTGGGATTATTTTAATTTGCGCTGCGGTCCTATTGTTAAATATATTTGAATAATAAATTTAATGCGCAGTTTTGGTTGAAATAGGGAGATCCCAGGAACATCTCACCAGTCTTCCGAAGATCATGAGATCATGCAGTCGCAATGAGAATAATAATCAGAAAAATAAGTAGAGTGAAATCCGATTGAAGTCGAGTTTAATCTTTGCAGCCAAGCTCTATAACTTTAGCTTATTCAGTTGTGTTCCGTCTCTGGCTGAGAACGGTAAGTAGAATTAATTTTAATTATAATTATTAAATTGCAAATACATTTTTCTGCTAAAACAATTTGCCAATTAGTGCATAAAACGGTCTGAAGGCTTTAATTTACATTTTTAATAATTGCCTTGGTTGATTGCTGTTCCTCGTCTTAAAAGCTAAGAATATAAATTGCATATTTAAGCTTGCAGTTTATTTTAGATTTCGTTGGACTCGAGGTTCAATATACCAGATATCACACAAATAAATGCATTATGACAAAGTATTTTATTCTATTTATTTTTCGAAAGATAGAAAATTAACGATTAGACATAAAGTGAATTATTTTTGGTCGGTTCTTTCTGTACAAAAGGTGTGAAAATTAAAACATTTACTCAAATTTCCGGTCACGCTTTAGAAGTGATCAAGACGTGTTTAAGGTTGTTAAAAAAGAACCCTCCCTTTTCTAACAAGCAGAAAAATACTCTTTTGACGTGCCGAACTTTATATGCCCTTACAGTTTGAAATTTGATAATTCAAAATAAATCAATTTTGGTCGAATGAAACAAAAAAAACTAACTGGAGATATTGAAAACATTTTGTGATATAATAAATTGATACTTACAGTTTTAAATTTACAGTTTTACAGTTTTCTACACTGATTTGATTAGGTCTTTTGATTTGCATGCAATTGATAATTTTGAAATAATAAAAAGTGGCCATAAGTAAATAAAAATACGTTGAAAGATCAAGAAGTTATAGGTTTTGTACGCGGATCGGTCCTATGGCAGCTATTTATGTACATATAGGATATAGTCATCTGATCTGGCCCATTTTGACCGTTTTAAACACTATGCTAATGTATACTTAGATAGCTCCAAAACTGCAAACTAGTTTGCATAGAAATGCTAGATTGACTCGGCTATTGATGCAGAATAAGTATTTTTACGCTTTATAGGGTCGGAAATGACTCCTTCACTTCGTTGTAATCCTGCCTCACATTATAATACCCTGCAAGTGTATAACAATGAAGTTCATTGATTGACTGCAATAAACATTGCAAACAATTACTTATACATACATCTACAAATACAAACATAATTTAATATCGCCAAAAATAGCATGCGAATACTTTATGGGTTTATTCCATATACAGCAAGTTGCAAGTTTTTATACTCTTTATACATTTAGTACTAGAATATAAATTATATCTTCAATCATTTTAAGCATGGTATTTAGCAATTACGTATTTAAGGACATGTTTAAATGGGTCATTTTTAAGCAGATATATGAAGTAAAACACCCTTTTTCGAGCTTGGTGGTATTGCGTACTACATTTACCCCAATATACTTTTTACATGGGCTAAATGTGTTTCTTATTTATTTATATTTTTCAAGAGTATACACAAGTTGTTTATACAAGGACGCTAAACACGATAAGAAGCAAACTTATTGCGAATTCTTCAGACTGGTCTGGCAACCCGAAAGCTCCATATGGTCGAGGAAATGGCAATCTCAAACAAAGTCGACGATGAGGAGGTGGGGCAAGTTAAGACGGTGAAGGGCAGCAAATGTTTTTATTTGAAAAAAATGATCGGAGATTACATAGGTGAGTTCGTGCCGCCAACTGATTAGAAGGTGACGGAGAGTAATATAATGATTCACTCCAGACACCGCTGTTCGTATCGTGGCTACCGTGTATCTGGCAGACTTCCTGCAGCGCCTTTTCCTCTGCGGCGTGGAATATTGGCGCTATGTCAACTACTATTTGCCCGAGGATCGGATGCGGACGATCCTGCGTCGGGGGTTCACGTACAGCAACAAATCGGTCTACCTCTTGATGGCCTTCGTTCTCGTGGGATTCTCGCGGACATCGATGACCGGCGATTTGAGAAGCGTTGTTCCCACAGCCGCGTTCTTGGTCTATATGCCACTCTACTGGATGTTCAATGATCTGGGTCACAGCACCCTGACCTACTCAAAATGGATAAGGGAGCCGCACGGGCTGGACTATGCGGAGGGCATGGCCTCGAACTACTTCCACGGATACCTTAAGCTGGCGCTGCCCGACCTCAAGGACGATGGTCTCAAACATCGGATAGCGGTCTATGAGGTAAGGTTGCGTAAACATATTTTAAACACGAATATTAAACGACATGTGTCTTCGAAAGGATAAAAACAATGTCACTTTTGGAATCGACCGACTTGTTATCCTTATTCCGGACGAGATGTGGGTCAAAGGCGTTCTCGAAAGTGAATTGCTGGAAAAGGCTAAGGTAAATAATTGTATTCAGGTAATGTCCCTACCATGATACAATCATAGATTGTAATGTATCATGGTCCCTACTTAATCGATCTTTTTTTGTGGTAGCCTCTGGAGACGAGATTTATTAACCGAGCCGGCGTGGAGCGTCCGTTCAAGCACGACGTCTACAGGCTGAATCGCCAAGTTAATGGGAAGAATTATTATTTTGCCATTGAGGGAGCCACGCCCATGTTGTCCTTCTACGACGCCATGCAATCCAACTTGTCGGCCACCTGGCAGATGCGGGAGCTAAAGCGGGAGATCTGGCTCAAGTTCGCCAAGCACTTAAAGGAGCTCATTGCCAAGTGCCCGGAGACCCGAAACGAAGTGCATCTCATCGTGTACAGCTGTGAGTTCTTTTTTGACAGAGCCTTGTAGGATGTTATCTATATTCTATTGACAATATTTCAGCGCACGATAAGCATGGCAATCCCGTTGACGTTGGAGACAAGCTAATCGATTACATGCGGAACAAAACTGAAACTATTAATAAGCGTGAGAGCTAAAAAGTGTGACAACGAGATCAAGAATATCATAGGAAACTGTCCTCCAATTCGAACTAACTTCATCAGAATACGGAGCATCATTTTTTATATTTTTGTAACGTGCTGTACCTTAACCTACAACTAATGAGAATGTTGGTTGATATAAAAGCGAATAACTAACATATACAAGACTGGATTTCACATGGACATGGTTAAAATAAGTAAAATGTGTTAACTTAGGCCTCGACATCAACGAGCTGGTCTTCTGGATTCGATGCCTCCATTTCCTTTAGCTTGGCCTGGGCCATAGCCAGCATCCTTGACTTCCATTTCTCGTAGTCCTCCGCTTGTGGTTTCTGTGTCTTCTTGGCATCTTTCCCGCTGCCGCTTTCCTGTTGGCCTTGCTTTAGCTTCTCCTCCATATCGGTGGCGGATACCACTTTGCTTTCCTTGTAATGCTTGGCGATCATGTTGTCCCATTGATGTTCCAGCTGCTGCCATTGGCTGGGTCGCAGATTGCTGAAGGGCATGAACTTCGTTTTGGCAACCTTCTTCTTAAGCAGGCGGCAGGCTTGGAACACGGCCATGGCGGCATACTGCGGATGCTCGGTATCGGTGCCGGTGCCTTCTGTGGCCGCCAACGCTCTGAACAATGTCATCAGCTCCTCGGCCTTGCGGGTCACCTCGTTGAGGCTCAGCTGCACGCAGATATCATTCACGCTGGCCAGTTTGTTCAGATCCAGCAGCTTCTCGAACATGCGCTTGTTGTTGAGGTAGTGGCTCTTGCGCAGTCCGGACAGCTTGAGGGCCTGCTCCTTGTCGAAGCCTATACCCAGCACACAGGAGGCCAAATCAGCGCACAGGACTATCTTGCCGTACTCGTTGATCTGCAGGGGAACATTTGTGGAGCGCAGCTCCAGCAGGCGCACCAATTCGGTGGTTTTCCTGGAAAGGATTTTGTTACTATTGTTTTCCTATTTTAAATATTTAGTCTTACTCCAATATTTTGGGCTCGTCCCGCAGGCCCATTTTTGTTATTAACTGTTCTATTAGAGTAGTCATTTTAAATATACACAAATTTCAAGTCGTTTGTGGTTAAATTGTAAAAACTATTTCTGGCGCGAAACTACAAACAGCTGTTGGCGATAGCACAGATTTAATCGATTGATATTCGATAGGTTGTTTGAAGAGGTGAACTAGTTCATTTATATTTTAAAAATAAATTTTAATTTGGTTTAGTTGTTAAAATAAATAAACTGTAAATACATTTTTTTACCCGATGTTTTATTTTTAGGCGGTTTGGGGAAATATATAAAATTAATGTATTTCATTCAGGCCCAGAATTAGATTCCCTGCCACAAACGAATTAATGCGTCTCATTATCGCTGTCGTCCTCCTTGTTTGCGGCTTCTCCGGCACTGCGCGCCTTCTCAGTCAGTTCGGTGGGATTGATCAGGTGCACGCCATCCGTGCACTTGCCCACGATGCCCATTTCGAAACGGAAGTCCTTGTCCTTCAACTCGTCGTGGACCTTGTAAATGCTAAGGAACAAGCATTTTAGATTAGAGGATATTTTAGGTAAGGAGCAGCTGAGCATAGCAAACCCACATTTCACCGGCACTCTTCACGAGATCCTCCGTTTTCATGTCCGTCTTCAGCTTTTCCATCTCGGTCTTGGCCTGTGGCTTTGCCTTGCCGCTGGCGCAGGCATAGTAGCCGAAGAAAGAGCCCGATGGCTCGATCTTGTAGAGTTGTGGGCCCTCCACCTCGTCCCATGAGGCGAAGATGATGGACAGACCGAAGGGACGGACTGCGCTGTACAAGGTATATGCGTGCACATAAGCGGAGACGCGTTCACACAGGTGTTTCAGCGGAATGCCGTGTTGGAACTGCTGACGGAAGTTGGCCGCTTCCTGGCGGGCAATGTCCGCGACATAGTTGCCATCGGCCGCCAAGCCGGCCACGGCCATTCCGATGTTCTTCTCGATGGTGAAGATGCGTCCGCCTGCGTCCGGCTCGTACAGCTTGCTGGTGATGACCTTCTCCACGGCCAGCACCACGGCGTCCTTGCCACGGATCCCGACAACGGTGCCGCTCTTCTCCACCGCCTTCGAGGCATAGTCGATCTGGAAAACGCGACCGTCCGGCGAGAACTGCGAGGCCGACAAATCGTACTGCAGGTGCAAAATAATGCGTTATTCCCTATTTAATTGCAACTTAATTAGCTGGTTACTTACACCGGTGCCAATAGTACTCATTTTGAAGTTTTAATTCGTAATTTAAGCAAAAGAGGCAAAAAGTTTGTTTTCTAGGATGGATGAACGATGATTTGACGGCTTTTGGTGTGGTCAGTGTGGCCAGTTTAAAATTTTACTTTCCCCCTAAAAAAATCTTAAAGTCCCGTAAAAATTCCACTTTCGCGGCTTTTGGGCACACTAAAACGCGAACACGAAGGGTGGCAACGTTGGTCGCTCATAAAGTCTGGCCGCTTTGTTGCGTTTTTAATCTGGCAACACTGTCCCGGTTTCGCGGCGCACGAGGTTCTTATTTATAAACAGCGAATAAACATGCTGGCAAATGTGACCGAAAAAAGGCAAGTTCTGAACAAAAACTAGTCTTCTAGTCCTTATAGTAATCATATCCCTTATTCCAGCTATGCGGCCGAGGCGCGCTACACAAACTTTTACGCCGGCGGCGACATTGCATGGAGCGCGGACGGACAACATCTTTACTGCCTGAACGGCGCCTCCGTCAACCAGGTATCCGTGCAGACCTCACAGATCCTGCAGAGCTTTGGGGTGGCCAGCAACTCCTCTTCGACAACAGAGAAGAAAAAGGCCGCCGCCAGTGCAGAGGACATCGATGTGGAGGAGGACACAATAACGTGCTTTGGAGTGTCTCAAGAGCATTTGGTGACCGCCCATCGAAGTGGACTGCTAAGGCTCTGGCAACTGGCCACCGGCACGCTGGTAAAGCTGTGGAAGGCCCAGCACAAGGGACCCGTCATCCGAATCGAGTTCAGCCCGTGCGGCAGGCTAATATGCACCAGCGGCGGCGCAGATGCCACGCTGAGGCTGTGGGACTACTCTAACAACAGCTGTCTGGGCGCTCTGAAGGACTTTCCGGGTCCCGCTTGGTTCATAGTCTTCCATCCCAATGTCCTGCGAAAGGAGATCTACGCAGTGGGTGCGGATAACACGATTTACGGCTGGAACTACGGCACCAAAACTCTGTTGCACAAAATGCGGGGACACCTCTCGCAGGTAACTGGTCTCAGTTTTAGAAGCAAGGAATTGGACTGCAACGAGCTCGTGACCGTGAGCCGGGACAAGGTGCTGATCGTGTGGCAACTCCAGGAGCAGGTGGAGAGCAAGCAGCTGAAGGTCCTTCCGTTGTACGAGGAACTGGAAGGAGTTGTCTATGGCGACGACGGTCGTCAGATAATCGTGGCTAGTGGCGTCGGTAAGCTGAGGCAGGTGGACACAACGTCCTGGAAGATCAAGGACCTGCTGTCCCAGGCAGACTTCCAGATAAGCCGCCTGCTGCACTGCGGCGAGCTGAAGCAGCTGGCTTTGGTCACTACGGAGCAGAATATTCTCATCTACGACGCCGGGACCCTGGAGCCTCTCAAACACTTGGTGGGCTACAACGACGAGATTCTGGACATGTGCTTCATGGGTGACAACGATCGCTATCTGGCCGTGGCCACCAACAGCAAGCACTTCAAGCTCTATGACACTGAGAACGACATGAACTGCAAGCTGATCGTCGGCCATTCGGACACGGTCATGTCCCTGGCCGCCTCCCAGAACCTGCTCATATCGGTGGGTAAGGACTGCAGCATACGGCTGTGGCGGCTTCAGCACGACAAGAACCGCTCGCTGGAGGCGCTGACGGAGCAGACCAACTGCCACACGTCCACCATTGGCTGCGTTGCCATGACGCACAACGGAGCGACGGGCTTTGCCTCGGTTAGCCAGGACGGCAGCATGAAGGTGTGGCAACTGGCCAGGGACAAACAGGATCGCGACTTGTACTCCTTTAACCTGCGCTATGCAGCCCTCTCCCACGACAAGGAGGTGAACTGTGTGGCCTATGCCCCGAACAACAAGCTCCTGGCCACCGCTTCGCAGGACAAGACGGCCAAGGTGTGGCTGGCGGAGTCGAACTCGCTACAGGGTGTGCTGCGTGGTCACACACGCGGAGTGTGGAGTGTGCGCTTCTCGCCAGTGGATCAGATAGTCCTCACCTCGTCTTCGGACTGCACGCTGCGTCTTTGGTCGATCAGCAATTTCGCATGCATTAAACGATTCGACCAGGAGTGCACCATTCTGAGAGCCGAGTTCCTGGACCATGGCAAGTTCATTCTATCCGCCGCTTCCGATGGCCTGCTAAAGCTTTGGAACATCAAGACCAGTACCTGCCTCCAATCCTTGGATGAGCACGACGATCGGGTATGGGCCCTGGCTGTTTCAGGCAGGAGTAATCGGTTCTTCTACACCGGCGGGGCTGACTCCAAGCTGATTCGTTTTGAAGACGTAACGCAGGTGACGCGGAACGAGGCGCTGGATCAGCGACAGGCCACCTTGGAGCAGGAGCAGACTCTCCACTCCCTCCTCCACGCCCAGAAGCAGCTGCATAAAGCCTTTGTGCTGGCCCTGAACCTAGACAGACCCAAAGCCAGCTACGATATCATCAACCACTTTGTCCGCGAAAGGGATGAGAATGGGCTCCGGCAGTTGGTGGACCAACTGAACGTGGATCAGAGGGTGGCGCTGCTGCAGCATGTCAAGGCTTGGACCACAAACTCGCGGCACTCTCAGGTGGGCAATCTGATATTGAGACACCTGATCGGCGACGCTTTGCACGATCCCAAGGCACGGTTCTACAACAATGGCAACATGGTCGAGGTGCTGACGCCCTATGTCCAAAGGCACTTCAAGCGCGTCACCGAGCTGAACAAGGAGCTGGCCTTCCTTGAGTTTATTGTCCAGTGCATGTAGACTCACTGGTCCTTGATTGTTGTAATTTAGTTTATTTAGTTGTAAGGAAAGAAAATATATGTGAATATATGAAAATTAAATAAATTATAAAATAAAAATTATTAATTTAAATGTTGAAAACACACACAAAACAGAGTTTGACAGTTACAGTTTTACATTCTCAGCTTTACATTTACACTACATCTACCGATTGTTTCTATAGCAGCTATATGATATTTATTTATTTTATTTTATTGAATGTTAGGATAGCTTATAACTAATAGCCCAATCATAATCGGGTAAACTTAAAAATGTGGAACGCTTCACGATTTTGCGTGTTTTCAATTTGTGCAAACTCACACTTCAGCTTGGAATTGCATTGTTGTTATATTATTTCCATAAAAAAACATTTGAATAATTAATAAGAAATTTATTTATAACGAGTTTATCTTTTAATTGTACCTATGGTATGTACCAATGGTACAATTTTCAATGAAACCAAGGCGATTTTGTTCTAGGTATTTATAAGCGTTTACATATTAAACGATATAATTAACACTAAAACTAAGAAAATATTTTCTTAATAAAGAAAATAATTTTACAACATTTTTTTTAATATTTAGGAAATTTGCCCAGAAAACCAGAAAAAAAATCTACATTCAACAAAAATCGCCCTAGATTTGAAAAAGTTTATTTTTTTCCTGATTTTAGGGAAAATCTCAAATCTATGGGGACTCGCCTTTGCCCTTTTTAAGGCGAATTTCTAAATATTCTAGAGAACAAAAAAAAAAAAAAAACAAAAAATGTATTGCTCACCTTTTAACCTGGTTAAAATTCTTTAGTGATTTCAATGTCCTTTCTTTAATTCATTAAAGACTGTATATGATGATTATTTATAACTATGAATAATACATTCCAATGTGCTCTTATAAAACAGTTTTATTTATTATTATTTTTATAATTTTATCTTCTTAATACCATCATTTATAAAGCTGCTGTTTGGCATCTTCTTTATTGCCTTAAATGACTCCGAATCAAATCATATTTGTGATTAATTAGACAATAAAAAAGTGTTTCCATTTACCTGCCCAAATTTGGAAACTGTATCATCTATCGTTCTTTGCGTCCATTTTTTTATTTCATCGCCATGTTGTTCTATTTTTTTAGTATTTATTGAACCTTGGCCTGATTTATGACATTTACAAACGACAAGCAGAGTGATTACAAAAGAATAATTGCGACTTTGGGCATTTTTAGTTGCGGCTTCCTTGCAGGTCTTAACCGGAGAAAGTAGACTTCAGTACTGTCATCTTGGTGTCGATTTTTCCCATAACGTAAACTCTGTTGGCGTCGCAGGAAAGCTGAAGCTTATCACTCCACATTTAAAAATGTCAATAAACTGTCTAGTAGATCAGACAGCTATATCATATACTTACTACTTACTATTATACTCACAATCACAATCAAAATGAGGCGTTAATTAAAATAATAAATAAGACATTTATTTATAACTTGTTTATGCTCCTATAGTACCCCTGACCCTATGGTTACAAACATTAAAACCGTTTATAATGCAGACAACTCAATTATTAACTTTTATGAATGGCAGACGACAGCCTTTACTTTTTTGGTGTTTTAACTTTTATTTTTTAATTCGCTGCCTCCCGCATTTCTGCTTCGATTTTTTACTGTATTAAACGTATATAATAAATTATGACCCACTTACGGACAACGACGGAAACTTTTTCCGATCGCCGCCGCCGTTTTTCGTGGCGACAGACAAATCGAATTAGCGACAAATGTGTTCGTTTTTGTTACCGGAGCAGGCCTGAATATATTTATAACACGAACAAACATAAATTCAACGCATATTTAAGGGGTTATATACAGTTGTGATGATAAAAAAAATCGACTTTTTTTTATTGCATATTCTTCAAGTATATACTATTGAGAATACTCTCACAAAAATTCATAAAGATCGGAGCTTTAGAACCGAAGTTGTAGCTATTTATAGCGCACGACCTGCACGTCGGCCGGAACAAACTTGAAACTTTAAACGCGATTATCTCAGAATCGTTTTTTTTCGAAGTTACCTTTGCGGTGGACACGATAACTAAAAAACTATTAATCCGATCAACACCAAATTTTGACCACTTATTTTTTATAACAATAGCTAGTCCTCTAACGAAGAATTTTTTATTTTTTTTTTAACTTTTTTTTTTTAGAGCATAAAAATCAAAAATCTTATACCTTGAAAAAGTAAATTTTTTGTTAAAACCGTCGCCATTTTTTTTTTAATCAAAATTTTTACAAATCCATGGTCTAGAGGACTAGGCAATACAATATACTAACGAAATTTTTTTGAATTGTTGATTTCGGATGAACCGTTCTCGGGATATGATGTCCACCGCAAGTCACCATCGAAAAAAAGACGATCTTGGAATTCGGCCATAACATTTTTAATATTTAATATTTTTTTATGAAAAAATTTTATAAAGTACCTAGAAACATGTACTAAATAACGTCGGCAAAACATTTTTGATAAATATTTTTTATAATGTCAAAAAAAAATCGACAAAATTGCATTTTTTTGCGCGGTACAACTGTATATAACCCCTTAATACAATTTTAAATATAAAGTTACATTTAACTCAAAGCAACCCTTTAAACAATTTTAAAAACAATTTAAAGTGCACTAAGAGGCCAAAGAACTAAATATACTTTAATTTAGTTAAATTATTTCTAAATTTATTATTTACTAATCTAGAATGCTTAATTTTTAACCATTTTGTAATATACAAAAAACAAGAAAGGAAGCTAACTTCGGCACACCGAAGTTTGTATACCTTTGCAGATTGGTTTTCATACTTATATTAAAAATTTTAATTCTGAAAACATACAAAACAGAGTTTCATTACATTTTACGTATACTTATTATGTATATATAATTAACCTGCATAAATCCAGGACTTTTCCAGGACTCCTTGTTGTTTTTTGTTTTTTTTTTTTTTTTAGGGGGGGGGGGGTAAGGTATTTAATTTTTTTTCGTAAATTTTTTTTATTTTTTATTTTGAAAGTTCAACATCTTAAGAATATTGTGTCCAAGTTTTACATCGATCATAGTAAAATTGACGAAGTTATGCGGAGTTGAACGAAGGTCGGTTGGTGTTAAATGCATGAGAATCACAAAGTTTAAAGCGCTCTCCTGAAAAATGCCATTTTGAAAATCGGTGTACACGATAACTCAAAATCTACTGAACCAATCGGTTTGAAATTTGGAACATAACTTCTTTAGATAATTCTACAGGTAGAGCGTTTTTTAATTTTTAATTTTTTTATATTTTTTTTATTTAACAAATTAACTTAATTTTTTAGTAAAAAATCGGTGTTTTGACTTCAAATTTTGATAAAAAATAGGGCAACAAATTTAAAAATAAAAACGCTTCGTGAATACCTCGGGACACTTATCCTTTAACGAATGAGGTATAATTTTTGTAGATCGAATGATTCTGTGGACAGTTAGGATGTACACCGCAAACCAACATTTTTTGGAGGCGACACGGGAGATTCCCTATAACTCCTCTACCTCTAAATATTTTTCAATACAAAATTTATCAAAAACTGTTCAAATGTTGTGTTATTATATGGTATTTAATTCGTTAAGCTAACTTTAGCCGTTTCGTCGCAACATTTTATTGAAAAGTGGGCATTTTTGCACCGAATTAACCCCCATCGTCATCGTCCGTATTTCGCTTACAAAATCACAGTAGTTCGTTGTTTTGAGCTGACAATGTATAACACTTTTAGTTAGTAATGTTTCGCTCATCTTAGATCGGGTAGATCGACAAAATTTTAGAGTACTGCGCCTTGTTTCGTTTGTTTTCATATAAAGTTTTGCCGCTTTTCGTTAATGTAAAACATATTAAGGTATTTGTAATTGTAGTCGTATATTTATTTTAATTAAAGTGTAAGTATACTCAGCTGGTATCTGACGTAACGGGTTGAGTCGCGCAAACGGGATAGAACAAAAAAATAGCAAGTTTATGCTCCATATAACCTCCATGTTTATCATCCCATTGCACTGAAATTTTCAGCACTTAATCCGATTTGTAGCTATATTCAATGCTATTAATAATCATAAGTGTACAATGCAAAATACAAAATACTTTTATTTTTGTTTAACGTTTATTAGACAATAGTTAATATAACATTTATAACCACTTACGTATTTACTGGATGAGGGGAATATCTCGAATTTAAAATTCCAAAAATTGTACAAATTTGATTCAAATGAATTTGAGGAGTGTGTGCGCTCAGGACGTTCAAAGCTCTATTATTAGTCTACATTACATACTTAGGCACACTCGAATGAACATACATACATACACACGGCATATGCAGCCCTGTTTCCGTTTCCCATTAGCTGAATTTAAACAGAATAGCATTGAATGAAACATTGAATATGGTATACATTTCGGTTCAAAACGGTACAGAAACGTTTCACAAAATATTCGTTCTACAGAGCTACAGTTCCTTCGATATTCATACAAAAATAGAGGCGCGACGGGACACAATTTATGGTCATTTCAACTGACAGAATCCCTAAGATTATCACTGTGTTTGACTTAATTTTACATTAGGTGTGCGGTGGCAGCTTGGACAATGGACATGGTGGGCCGGGCACAGTTTACTCGATGATCATGATCAGGTCCTCGCCCTCGAGCTTCGTTCCATTGGCGATCTCCAGCTTCTTGACAACGCCTGCAATCGGTGACTGGACAACCATCTCCATCTTCATGGCCGAGAGCACGACCAGGGGCTGACCCTTCTCCACCTTGTCGCCGACATTTACGCGAATGTCGATGACGGTTCCGGGCATCGGAGCACCAACCTCGCTCTTGTTCGACTTGTTGGCCTTGGGATGGACATGGATTTCCTGTGGGATACCAAGGTAAAGTAATCAGTATTTTTATTCAGCTTAGAGTTTGAATAGATTACTCACCTTGACCGCCTCCTTGTCCAGGATATGAACAGCTCGCAGTTGTCCGTTCAACTCGAAGAAAACCTCCCGGATTCCGTTGGGCTTGAGATCGGCGGACACGGCCAGGGCCTTCACGCTCAGGGTCTTGCCGCGCTCCAG